TCTTTATAGTCCAACTCTCAGATCCGTACATGACTACAGGAAATTATTTGACAACAAAAAGGAGTGAGGTTAAAAAAAAAAAAGAGGAAAATGCCAGTACACGGTGTTACATGGATAAACCTTGTAAATATTATGCCAAGTGGAAGACGTGAGTCACAGTGGACCATAGCTCATGTGACTATAATCGTACGAAATGCCGAAGGCAGGCAGCGCTGGAGGGATGGCATGTTGGCCAGTGCTTGCCTGTGAATGAGGGTTATGGGCAGATTGCAAGTGAAGCTCAGGAGCTGGGTTTCTTCAGGGGTGATGGGAATATTTTAAAATCGCTTGTGATGCTGGGATGCACACCTCTGTGAGCACATTCTAGAGTTGAATAGATAAAGAACTGTGCACATTAAGTGGGTGAATTATCTTGTATGTAAATTACATTTCAGTGATGCTGTTACAGAATGCATGTAGAATCTCTAAAATAAAACCAGATTTTGACCTGTCTTGCTGAAATTAAAAGGGAGGAAAAAAATCCTCTCAGTTTTTTTCTTTTTTTCAAAACTGCAGGAGTTTTGACTGCCTTTAATTATGAAGCAGTCGGAGAGAAATTTCTGTTCGAGTAGAAATAACAGTCTAGTTGAAAAGAACAGAGAGAAAAACTGGATTAAAGCCCCACATTTTAAACCTCGGATAAGCGGAACAGGACGAGCGCATTCTGAAACTGACCACGCGCGTGGGGAGGAGCGTCCAGTGGCCGTTCAGACGTCAGCGCTGTGCAGAACCTTGTCCTGGCGGGGGCTGCGCTGCCTCGCCTGCTGGGTTTATAGCGTGAAGACTCCTGTTCCTGGTCTCCCAGCCCACTGGAAAAGCGTCTTGTTGCTGTTTGTTTCTTAAAAACTGATTGTGTTTGTTCCTGACCTTTGTCTCTGCTGGGCCCTCGCTGCTGTGCCGGCTCCTCTCCGGCGGCCCTGCACGGGCTTCTCGTGGCTCCTTCTCTTGCGGAGCGCGGGCTGAGGGCCTGGAGGGCCTCCGTGGCCGCGGCGCCCGGGCTCAGGGCGCGGGCTGGGGGCCTGGAGGGCCTCCGTGGCCGCGGCTCCCGGGCTCAGGGCGTGGGCATGTGGCCGTGGGGTGCGGGCTTAGTCGCTCTGAGGCGTGTGGGGTCTCCCTGGACCAGGGATGGAGCCCGTGTCTCCTGCACTGGCACGTGGATTCTGTACCACTGAACCACTAGGGAAGCCCTGATTATCTCTTTTATTCACAGGCACACACTTCACCTACAAGAAAATGCACATGTCTCAAACGTGTAGTTTGATTTCACCTGGGAAGCCCCCTGATGATATATATATGTATATATATGTTCCTGATCATATATATGTCTGTATATATATATTCATGTAAAAATAAGATGCAGAACATCCTCATCGCCCCAGAAAGTCTCCTCCTGTTCTTTCAGTCCCTCACCCCTCCCCCTTTCTGATTTCTATCATTATATGCGAATTTTGTCTTTGCTTGAGACTCATGTAAATTGCACTCAGTATGTCTATATCTTGTGTCTGGCCTTTCTAACTCGGCTTAATGCTCTTGGTATCAATCCATATTGTCTTCTGCGTCAGTAGCTCATTGCTGTTTATCACCGAGCAGTGTTTCATGGCATGAGTGTAACAGTTCACTTACCTGTTCTCCTGCTGATGGAAACACTGTCCCCAGTCTTCAGCTCCTGTGAATAAGGCTGCAGTGAGCATTTGTTTTCATCTGTTGTGAGTCGAGTCCTGATAGTTGTGGGGATATGGGCTGGATGAGATGGTTAGATAGCATCAGTGACTCAGTGAACAGGAATTTGCGCAAACTCCGGGAGACAGCGAAGGACGGGGAAGCCTGCTGTGCTGTGGTCCAGGGGTCGCAAAGAGTCAGACTGAAAAACACGGGGGGTATACGCGTGCAAATATTTAAGATCTTTCGACTCTTCTCCAACTTGGTTTTCCATTTTCTATTCCCACTAGCAAAGTGAGACCCCCAGTTCCTCCATATCCTCAGCAACACTCTAAGCTGTCACTCTTATCACAGGAGGCTCAGTCAGTTCAGTTCAGTCGCTCAGTCGTGTCTGACTCTTTGCGACCCCATGAACTGCAGCACACCAGGCCTCCCTGTCCATCACCAACTCCTGGAGTTTACTAAAACCCATGTCCATCGAGTTGGTAATGCGATCCAACCATCTCATCCTCTGTCATCCCCTTCTCCTGCCCCCAGTCCCTCCCAGCATCAGGGTCTTTTCCAGTGAGTCAGCTCTTCCCATCAGTTGGCCAGAGTATTGGAGCTTCAGCATCAGTCCTTCCGATGAACACCCAGGACTGATCTCCTTTAGGATGGACTGGTTGGATCTCCCTGCAGTCCAAGGGACTCTCAAGAGTCTCCTCCAACACCAGTTCAAAAGCATCAATTCTTCAGCTCAAATTTCTTTAGAGTCCAATTCTCACATCCATACATGACCACGGGAAAAACCATAATTTGACTAGACAGACCTTTGTCAGCAAAGTAATGTCTCTGCTTTTTAATATGCTGTCTAAGTTGGTCACAGTTTTTCTTCCAAGGACTAAGTGTCTTTTAATTTCATGGCTGCAGTCACCATCTGCTGTGATTTGGGAACACAAAAAGCCTGTCCCTGTTTCCATTGTTTCCCCATCTATTTGCCATGAAGTGGTGGGACCAAATGCCATGATTTTAGTTTTCTGAATGTTGAGTTTTAAGCCAACATTTTCACTCTCCTCTTTTACTGTCATCAAGAGGTTTTTTAGTTCTTCACTTTCTGTCATAAGGGTGGTATAATCTGCATATCTGAGGTTATCGATATTTCTCCTGGCAATTCCAGCTTGTGCTTCCTCCAGCCCAGCATTTCTCATGATGTACTCTGCATATAAGTTAAATAAGCAGGGTGACAATATACAGCCTTGACGTACTCCTTTTCCTATTTGGAACCAGTCTGTTGTTCCTTGTCCAGTTCTAACTCTTGCTTCCTGACCTGCATACAGGTTTCTCAAGAGGCAGGTCAGGTGGTCTGGTATTCCTATCTCTTTAAGAATTTTCCACAGTTTGTTGTGATCCACACAGTCAAAGGCTTCCCTGGTGGCTCAGAGGTTAAAGCGTCTGCCCGCAATGTGGGAGACCTGGGTTTGATCCCTGGGTTGGGAAGATACCCTGGAGAAGGAAATGGCAACCCACTCCAGTATTCTTGGCTGGAGAATCCCATGGACGGAGGAGCCTGGTAGGCTACAGTCCATGGGGTCGCAAAGAGTCGGACACACTGAGCGACTTCACTTGCACTTTACTTTCTTTCACACCCTCAATGGCTTTGGCGTGGCCAATAAAGCAGAAGTAGATGTTTTTCTGGAACTCTCTTGCTTTTTTGATGATCCTGCGGAAGTTGGCAATTTGATCTCTGTTTCCTCTGCCTTTTCTAAATCCAGTTTGAATATCTGGAAGTTCACAGTTCATGTACTGTTGAAGCTTGGCTTAGAGAATTTTGAGCATTACTTTGCTAGCATGTGAGATGAGTGCAGTTGTGCACTAGTTTGAACATTTTTTTGGCGTTGCCTTTCTTTCGGATTAGAGTGAAAACTGACTTTTTCCAGTCCTGGGGACACTGCTGAGTTTTCCAAATTTGCTGGCATATTGAGTGCAGCACTTTCACAGCATCATCTTTGAGGATTTGAAATAGCTCAACTGGAATTCCATCACCTCCGCTAGCTTTGTTCATAGTGATGCTTCCTAAGGCCTACGTGACTTTGTATTCCAGGATGTCTGGCTCTAGGTGAGTGATCACACTAACGTGGTTATCTGTGCCATGAAGATCTTTTTTGTACAGTTCTTCTATGTATTCTTGCCACCTCTTCTTACTATCTTCTTCTTCTGTTAGGTCCATACGACTTCTGTCCTTTATTGAGCCCATCTTTGCATGAAATGTTTTCTTGGTATCTCTAATTTTCTTGAAGAGATCTCTAGTCTTTCCCATTCTATTGTTTTCCTCTATTTCTTTGCGTTGATCACTAAGAAAGGCTTTCTTAGCTCTCCTTGCTATCCTTTGGAACTCTGCATTCAAATGGGAATATCTTTCCTTTTCTCCCTTGCCTTTAGCTTCTCTTTGTTTCACAGGTATTTGTAAGGCCTGCTCAGACAGCCATTTTGCTTTTTTGCATTTCTTTTTCTTGGGGATGGTCTTGACCCCTGTCTCCTATACAGTGTCACGAACCTCTGTTCATAGTTCTTCAGGCACTTTGTCTATCAGATCTAATCCCTTGAATCTATTTGTCACTTCCACTGTATAATCATAAGGGACTTGATTTAGGTCATACCTGAATGGTCTAGTGGTTTTCCCTACTTTCTTCAGTTTAAGTCTGAATTTGGCAATAAGGAGTTCATGATCTGAGCCACAGTCAGCTCCCGGTCTTGTTTTTGCTGACCGTATAGAGCTTCTCCATCTCTGGCTGCAAAGAATATAATCAATCTGATTTCGTTGTTGACCATCTGGTGATGCCCATGTGTAGAGTCTTCTCCTGTGTTGTGAGTCTAGTGAGTGTGAAGTAGCATCTCATTGTGATTTTAATTTGCATTTCCATATTATCTAATGGGGGCAAGTTTCTTGTCATATGCTAATTGGATTTTTGGAGATAGAGTCTATTCAAGTGTTTTGAATTTTTGAAGAGTTATTTGAGACTTCAGCATGTTGCTGGGCAGTTTGCAGCATTCTTGGTTACTTCCCGGAGACTGAAATGGCCTCGGCACGTGGCTTTTGAAGCCTGATGTCACCTGTTCTGCATCTCCATGATTCATGAACTCAGTATAAAATTGAAGTTGCATATGGACCACAATAAATCCCTGAGGTATAAAGGGTATTGTAGCATTGGGTGTAAAGTCTTTGTCAAGGCTTTTGCTCCTGTCTGTTGGCTGGAGTTTCCCAGCTACAGTGCCCAGTGTCTGCAGGATACCAGATGGTCTCACCTGCTGTTTCTTCTCCCCAGTGTCCAATAAGCACCCATTTGTGGACAGCAACCTTCTCTACCAGTTCAGAATGAACTTCCGGCGGAGGCGAAGGCTGATGGAGCTGCTCAGTGAGAAATCCCCGTCCTCCCAGGAGACGCACGACAGCCCCTTCTGCCTGCGGAAGCAGGGCCATGACAACCGGAAGTCTGCCAGCTTCATGTCAGGTGTGTGCAGGCCGCTCTGAAGGAGCACATGTGTGTCTGCTGGGAAATAACAGTCACACCTCACCTCTGTGAATTCTGTCCTCAAGAAACATCTTATTTATAACCAAAAAATTATATATTTATTTATTTTGCCCCCAAAAGAAAACATACGCACACACCACCAAATTGTTCCTGGGAAATCAACTTCCATGCTGGGAAGTCTGTTTTATAATTTTATGTATTTAAATTACAAAAGACCACTCAAGCTCTCACCCATACCTTATTTACTTTTCATTTACAAACAATTCTGGGTCTCTGGTGTTTCAGGCAGATTCTTTACTGCCTGAGAAACAATCCGTACATATCATTAATTATCCAGTTTTCTAAGTCCAGCATTGAAAATCTATATAAGGATGAATAAGACTTTTGAGGGCATATACAACTAAAAGGCAACTAATTATCAGTCTGTCACACAGAGCAACTTAAAACTATGAAAGGCAGACATAGGAGCTCAGAAGGCACAGTATCCTGGGGCATTATGTGCAAGGTCAGACAGTCTCATGTTGACAGGTAACCTGGACGGAAATGATGACTGATGTTCACAATGATAACCCCATTTAAAGAAGCTGAACTGAACAGAATAACCTCATTCCCTCAGAGAAGGGTAATGACGTGTCATTCTGTATAAGAGGATGGAGTGCTTACTGGGCCATCTTCCACTCTGAAAACTCGACACTGACTCAGGAAACTGGTTACCCTAAGACTTGGAGCCTAAGGCCTCAGGCTTTACCCGAAACCCAGAACAAAAGGAAAACGTGTATTGGTTATACACAGGAGGCGACAGTGAGAACACTTAGAACTAGAAGTCCTGGGAGCCTTCTGCATCTGGCAGGGAGCCGAGCTTGCCTGCATACATTTTCGCATTGAAGCCTCACTGTTACTCTGCGAGGAAAGACTTTCCTTATCCCCACTTTATGGGTGAAGAAATGCAGTCAGTGAGCGGTGGAGTGGGTTAGGCAAGCTCCCACAACTAGAAAGTGTCCCAGGAATTCTGTCCTAACCCGGCGCTCCTGTCCAGCCTTCCTCATCCCAGGCTCCTCAGACACGGCTGGGATGGGGCAGAGAAGGAAGCAGGGGCCGCGCCAGGAGAGGAAGCGCTAGCTGAGGGTCAGCGCCTAAGCCTGTGCTTAGATGCCCTCCAGCTGTGTGCCCCTAAGGCGGCAGCCTCCTGCAAACGAAAGGAACCGTCCACAGCCTCCCTGTTCTTCACTGAGTCCCAGAGACCTGAACAGGTGACGGTGGTAAGGACACAGTAACCAGGGTGACCGTGACGGCCAGCCTGGCTTTGGGCGTCCCGGGGCCAGGCTCTCCGCGGCTCCTTTCCCCGCGTCCCGCACCGTGCTCTCCTCCCGCTGGTGAGAGCCAGCCAGCTCGGCGGAGGGAAAAGCGAGGTGGGATCCCTGAGGCCGCTGCTGCAGTACTGCACGCCTTCAGAGCCCGAGGTCATGCCCTGTGTTTTAATCTCCTTCTGGGTGATTAATGGTATAATCTTCAATCTGGAGGCACTTATTGTCACGTTAGTTCATTAAGTGTCTTGCCAGCACTTAATTTACATCCTCTCAGGGATGCTTGGCAGGAGCTCCGTGGTTCTTAAAATAGTATTTCATGTAGCTGAGTGCTTCCCCCTGTATTACCACGCCTGCACCAGTCCCCACAGGGGAGCATTATTCCCACTTTACAGTTGGGGAAACTGAGGCTTACAAAACTCAAGGGACTACGCCCAGCTTGTGCTATTCATAAGTGGCGGAGCTGCCACTCAGACCCTTGCTTTTCCGATGACAAGGCCAGAGGGCTTGATTCTGGCATGCGGAGGCTGCCCCACGACCCCGGCAGCTGCAGGCGCTCCTGTTCTCGGGAACCGAGCTCACCGCCATGCGTCACCGCACCTGTCCTCGGGGACCCAACCCACGGCTATGACCTGAGCGTGTCCTCGGGGACCTGGCCCACTGCCGTGGGTGACCGCCCATGTCCTCGAGAACCAAGCTCACCGCCACGCGTGACTGCACGTGACCGTGCGTGTCCTCGGGAATCCAGCCCATCACCGCGCATGTCCTAGAGAACTGAGCCCACTGCTGTGCGTGACTGCGCGTGTCCTCGGGGACCTGGCCTGTCACTGCACATGACCTCGGGAATCCAGCCCATCACTGCGCATGTCCTAAAGAACTGAGCCCACTGCTGCGCGTCACCGCGCATGTCCCTGGAGACCCGGCCCACCACCGTGGGTGACCATGCATGACCTCAGGAACCCAGCCCACCGCCGCGTGTGACCAGGAGTGTCCTTGAGGCCCCAGCCCATCACCATGACTGACCGCGCGTGTCCCTGGAGACCCGGCCCATCCCTCGAGTGACCGCGCGTGTCCCAGGGGCCCGGCCCACCCCTCGAGTGACCGCGCGTGTCCCAGGGGCCCGGCCCACCCCTCGGGTGACCGCGCGTGTCCCGGGGCCCGCCCCACTGCCGTGCGTGACCGCGCGTGTCCCCGGGACCCAGCCCACGCCTCGAGTGACCGCGTGTGTCCCAGGGGCCCGGCCCACCCCTCGGGTGACCACGCGTGTCCCGGGGCCCGGCCCACCCCTCGGGTGACCGCGCGTGTCCCGGGGCCCGGCCCACCCCTCGGGTGACCGCGCGTGTCCCGGGGCCCGGCCCACGGCCGTGACCGCGTGTCCTCGCCCGCAGTCAGCCCCAGCAAGGAGATCAAGATCGCGTCGGCCGCGCGGAGGAGCAGCATGAGCGGCGGCGGCGGCGGCGGCTACTTCAGCAGCAGCCCCACGCTCTCCAACAGCCCGCCGATCCTCTGCAACCCCAAGTCTGGTGAGTGGCGGGCGCGGCCCGTCCGCCTGCCCGAGGATCCGGGGACGGGGCGCGGTTAAGCGGATTCCCTCATTAAGCGGAGGGGGACGAACGGGGGGCTCTCCGCGCGCGGTGCGGTTTGGGGCGCCTCCTCTTGGACGGGCTTCCCGGCGGCGCTAGTGGTACAGAACCCCCAGCCAGTGTAGGAGAGGTGAGGGATATGAGCTCGCTCCCTGGGCGGGGAAGACCCCGCCCCACTGAGGTTGCCTGGAGCATCCTCGGGCGGAGGGACCCGGCGGCTGCCGTCCAGGGGTCTCAGACTGGGACACGATGGGCAGGCAGGCAGGCAGGCGCGCCTGGGGGAAGGAAGGGAGGACACCGGTTTGCAGACGGGACCTGGGCTGCAGTGCGCACCCCGTGAAGGCGGCGGCTGACCCCAGGTGGCGCTCTGGAGTCGGGGGGGGGGGGGGGGGACTTGGAGAGGGGTCCCGCCTTGGGCGAGGTGGCCAGGCTGTTAGGACCTCACGCTGACCGGCCGTTGGATGCTGGCCGCCCCTCGGAGCGGGGCACGGCCTGGGGAAGTCGGCTGTCTGCAGACAGGGTTCCCAGGACAGCTGCGAATCCCGGCCGTCTGAGGGGCTCTGCGCCAGCAGCCCCACCTCCGGGAGAGGCCGCGGGCTGCCGCTGCCTGGATCTCACTGATGCTTGGATCTGCCAGGTCTCTGCACCCACAAGGGAGAAGCGCGGAGCTCTGCAACCCAGCCACCCCTGCAGACGACTCTCCGTGCCTTGCGGTTTCAAACTCTACTCTTCAACCTCCATAGACTTTATGTTCCAGGGGGAAAAAAAAAAAACCAGCCACCTAGGCACACAGATTGGTAATGAACTTGCAGTCGGATGGAATCACTTCCTCAGCCCACAGGCGCCTGGACCCAGCGATACCACTGCCTTCTCTCTGCTCCTGACCCCCTCCCTCCCAGGAGTGGACTGTGGTCCGCTGGGGTCAGCGGGGCCTTGAGGACACCTGCCACCCCGCTTGTGTAGTGCCGGCCCCCCGCATTCAGAGTCACCTTCAGGGAGCAGGCTCTTCTTTGCGCTGAGTCCTCACCAGCAGGTGAAGATGCGATGCTGAGAGGCCACGGCCCCCCTTCAGTGAGCAGAGCCTCTCTGAGAAAAAAGTGAAAAGCTTCCATTAGAATAAGGACAAATAGATGTTGTTCAAAGACTTTAAGAGAAAACAGTCATCTAATGCTGTACTCTAGGCAAGTGAGTGTTTTCCTTAATCTAACTTTTTTTTTCTGCCTTCTGTAGTGGAGGTCTAGCTCTCAGGATAAAGTTTTAACCTGCAAGTAAATGGAGGAACTTGCTTCCACACCTGCTGGGGAATCTTTGCGCACCCGTGTATGACCAAGTTTTTCAGTTACTAGAGCACTGCTGATAAGGCAGTATGAGAAGAACCTTAAAGCTAGAAACATCATGTTTGAAGTCCTAGTGGAAACCGAGCACCTCCAAGTTAAAAGAGTTCAGCTTCGGGGAAGTGTCGGTTGTGCTAAAGCCGTTGTGTGTGTTTCTGATTGCCTGGAGGAGTAGGAGGTTGTGTTTCTTCTTCTTTCTCCTTACCCGCTTGGCCCAAAGCGGGAATTTCACTGACGTGCAGGCAGAAATGGAAGGTTGGGTCTCTAAGGACCAGAACCGTCAGGACTTCACTGTGGTTGGTAGATCCTACCTCTGCGTTCTGACAAGCTCCTCTTTCATCTCTTTAGTGGACTCCCAAGATGGAAGGAGCTCACCTGCGATTTTTTTTTCCCTCAAGTAGGTAAGCAGGCTTCATGGTAAGGCATTTAAAGTTAATCATTAGTTATCCATCAGCATGTATTTTTAATACTATATGTAAATGCCCTAATCCAGATTAAGTGCTATAAAAAGTAATATAATCAGTATCATTGTGATGAGTAAATAAGTTCTCAAGGGTATGAGAAGAGAAAGCTAGAAATGACTCCCTAGGTTTCAAAGTTTCTGCACATTTTAACATAGGAGAAAGCGACAGTGCATTAAATGGTCAGCATTGTTGCCAAGTATTACAATATAGTGTGACTCAAAGTCACGATGAGAAGCCATCTGACCCCTCTCAGAATGGCTGACATTAAAAAGAACTCACATGACAAATGCTGGTGAGCGTGTAGGGGAAAGGGGGCCGTCATGCACGACTGGTGGGAATGTAGACAGGTACAGCCACTGTGGGAAGCAGTGTGGTGATCCCTGAAAGAAGCAGAAGCACCTCGTGACCCCGCAGTCTCACTTCTGAGTGTTATCTGTAGGAGAGGAGAACGCTCATTTGAGATTTCATTTGCACCCCCATGTTTATAATAGCCAAGACATGGAAGCAACCTCAATGCCCATCAGGGGATGCATGGATAAAGGAAATGTGATAGATCACACAGACACACGTATACACAGTTACTCCGCAATGAAAGTGAAGGAAACTCTGCTCTTTGCAACAAAATGGGTGAACCTTGCGGTCAATATGCTAAGTGAAATGTCAGACAAACAGTGACAGACAGCACCTGATCTCACGTGTATGTGGAACGTAACAGAAACCTCATACGTTCAGAGAGCAAGCCGGTGATGGCCAGAGGGGCCTGGTCGAGGGGCCGGAAGGTCGAGTGGGCAAAATGGGCGAAGCGGGTCAAAGGGCACATGTTTCCAGTTTCTAAACATGTCCTGGGGAATGCAGTGTACCGTGTGGTGACTGCAGTTAGTAACACTGCACTGTATGTTTGAATGTTGCCAGGAGGGCAGAACATTTCTTTAGTATTTTTATCTATTTGGGTGCACTGGGTCGCAGTCAGCAGGAGGGACCCTTAGCGACAGCAGGTGGGAGCTGGCTGCTGACCAGGGGTTGAACCTGGGCCCCTGCTTTGGGAGCTGAGGTCCTAGCCACTGAACCACCAGGGAAGTCCCCAGGGTAGATCTGAGAAGCTCTCATTTCAAGAAGAAAAAGCTTGCAGCTACATGAGGAGATGACCTTAACTGAATTAGGTGATCATTTCGTAATACATACATCATTCTGTTGTAACCTGAAATGAATCTAGTGTGTCGATTATATCTCAATAAAAGTAGACGGTGTAATGATAAATGGTGGCTGTTGTCAGATATCACAGTGCAGTGTGATTCCAACATCCACCCCCATAAGCCCCAGAAGGGATCCGAGGACTGAGAGTGTGGCGGGGTTGACTGACGGGAATAAAAAGGCTGCAGTCCTCTTCCCCCACCTCCTGGCCCTCTGCTGAGAGCTGCTGTTCTTGATCTCACCCTTCTCGCTCTGTAGGGGAGACCGTAAACCCATGTCCTTCTTTATGAGCTTTCTGAAGGCAGAAGCTCGCACCCCTGTGACCGGTGAGGTCAGCAGGAAGCTCCCCGTCGTCCTCGCCTGAGAAAATGCGGGGCTGGGCGGGGCCCTGCCCGACGGCCTGGGTCTCGCCACCTCTCGTCCTCCGCTGGCCCTTGGCCCGGGACTGGCCTCCGGCCCCCGAAGGCCCCCGCAGAGGGGATGGAGGCTGCGCTTCGTGTTGAGCTCCCGGCCCTGCCACTCCAGTTTCTCTGCGCTCAAGCTCATGGTGTCTCTAACTGAGATCAGACGGCCCCCAGGCCACAGGCTGCCCTGGGCCTGCCGCAGCAGTCTCTGTTCCAATTCTGCGTGAGCACCGCGTGGACGGGGTTCATCTTTGCTGGGTTTTGCGGCTGCAAGTCAGGAAGGGACCACGGTCTTTGCTGTCTGCTGGAGCCCAGCAGTGATCTGATGGTTCAGGGGTCTTGGGGGGCCACACGCAGCCATACTGGGGCTTCTGCACCCTGTCTTCTGAGGGTGGGCAGTGGCATCAACGCTTGAGTTTAAATCTTGGTTCCATTTGACTCTGAGGCCTTGGACACAACCTCCTTAACTTTTCTCAGCTTCTGTTTCCTCCCTAGTAGAATAGGGACAAGGATGAAATGATCCATTAGTTCTTGTGATGGTGAAACAGAGTATAAAGTGCTGAGCAGAGTAGCCAGCATGTGTTAAGGATGCAGAAAAGCTCATGGGTGTTAGGGTTCAGGGCCAAAGGCAGTGTACGTGCACAATCTGTGACGTTAACGAGGAATTCCACGGAGCTCTCTGGTGAACAAGATGTGTACAATATGATTGGGGGGGGTTGTATGGCATTAGCCCTGGAAACATGGTTCGCAGTCTGCCAAAGCCAGAATTGCTCTTAATTTTGACAGTTTGAATGCCTTGCTGTTGTTGTTTAGTCACTAAGTCGTGTCCGACTCATTTGTGACCCCATGGACTATAACCCACCAGGCTCTTCTGACCTTGGGATTTTCCAGGCAAGAATACTGGAGTGGGGTTGCCATTTCCTTCTCCAGGGGATCTTCCTGACCCAGGGATTGAACCCGAGCCTCCTGCATTGCAGGAGAATTCTGCCCCCCCTGGGAAGCGTTGAATGCCTCAGTTCAGTTCAATTGCTCAGTCGTGTCCAACTCTGCGACCCCATGAATCACAGCACGCCAGGCCTCCCTGTCCATCACCAACTCCCGGAGTCTACTCAAACTCATGTCCATTGAGTCGGTGATGCCATCCAACCGTCTCATCCTCTGTTGTCTCCTTCTCCTCTGTTTCCCTTCTCCAGCCGATCTTCCCAACCCAGGGATTGAACCCAGGTTTCCCACATTGATTCCTTACCAGCTGAGCCACAGGGAAGCCCTCTGAATGCCTATCCGGGCTTGAAAGAAAGAAATTCAAGAAGCCCCTTGGCACTCTTGCTTCCCCTCCCGCTGCCCCATCTCTGCTTTCTGTAAGTTAGGTTTAGGGTTGTTTGCACTCATCTCACACGCTAGTAAAGTAATGCTCAAAATTCTCCAAGCCAGGCTTCAGCAATACGTGGACTGAGAACTTCCAGATGTTCAAGCTGGTTTTAGAAAAGGCAGAGGAACCAGAGATCAAATTGCCAATATCCGCTGGATCATCNGTCCGTCTGGTCAAGGCTATGGTTTTTCCAGTGGTCATGTATGGATGTGAGAGTTGGGCTGTGAAGAAAGCTGAGCACCAAAAATTGATGCTTTTGAACTGTGGTGTTGGAGAAGACTCTTGAGAGTCCCTTGGACTGCAAGGAGATCCAACCAATCCATCCTAAAGGAGATCAGTCCTGGGTGTTCATTGGAAGGGCTGATGCTGAAGCTGAAACTCCAGTATTTTGGCCACCTCATGAGTTGACTCATTGGAAAAGACCCTGATGCTTGGAGGGGTTAGGGGCAGGAGGAGAAGGGGACGACAGAGGATGAGATGGCTGGATGGCATCACCGACTCGATGGGCATGAGTTTGGGTAAACTCCGGGAGTTGGTGATGGACAGGGAGGCCTGGCGTGCTGCAATTCATGGGGTTGCAAAGAGTTGGACACGACTGAGTGACTGAACTGAACTGATGTTTGCTAATATTTTCTGCCTCTGTTTGGCTGGAGTTGTTAACTGGGAGGCAGGGATCTTTGCCACTTTGGGTCACTGATGTCAGATTGAGGCACTCAGGAAGTTTGTGCTGAAAGACTGAACAGAGGGCTAAGAGGGTTTGTGCCCTGACCCTGCGTCTGTCTTGCAGTGTTGAAGAGGCCCGTCACTTCTGAGGAACTCTTGACTCCCGGGGCTCCGTACGCGAGGAAGACGTTCACGGTAGGCTCATCCTTCGGTTCTTCTCCTGCACCGCTTGTCTGAGCATGTCAGCTCAGCTGATGAAGCACGTCAGCATGGCGGCCTGTCCATGTTAAGTTTAGGGATGGACTTGGAAAGGTTCTCCCAGTTCACCTTTTGTTTTGAGCATCATTATGACAGTGTGAGTTTCTTGACCCTTTGGCAATAAAATGCATTAGGACTTGACACAATTTATTATTAATAATCCAGCATTTCAAATTCCTTTTGATGTTTCCCTAAAAAAAAATTCATTATGAAACTATTCTTATATAATGACAGATTTAAAGGCAGGTGGTAGAACAAATAATGCCAACAATCCCTTTCTGCATTATAGGTAATTATAAAAATTATTTAAACCATGTGGTTGTTTAGTTACTAAGTCATGTCCAAGTCGGCAAAAGAGTCTTTGGCAACCCTGTGGACTGTAGCCCACCAGGCTCCTCTGTCCATGGGATTCTCCAGGCAAGAGTACTGGAGTGGGTAGCCCTTCCTTCTCCAGGGGATCTTCTGGACCCAGGGATCGAACCCGTATCTCCTGCACCGCAGGCAGATTCTTTACCACTGAGCCACCAAGGAAGCCCTATTTAAGACATGAGGGAGTCTTTAGAGAAGGAAGTTTGTTCTGTGATGACCAGTGGAGCTTTTGACAATATTTTAGTGCCCTGAATTACAGAAGGACCTCATTTGGATGTCCTATGTACCTGTGAGCACCTCCTGACCACCTGCCCTCTCCTGGAGGGTCTTCAGCCTTCCTCCTTCTTCTGAGGCCCCCTGGTTTTCTTCAAACAGAACCCAAGTGCTGGTTCACGTGGTTTTTTTTTTTTTTTTAAGATTTTTGAAATGTGAACCATTTTTAAAGTCTTTATTGAATTTGTCCCAGTATTGCTTCTGTTGTATGTTTTGGTTGTTTGGCCGTGAATCATGCGGGGTCTTAGCTCCCCAGCCAGGGATCAAGCCCACAGCCCCGCATTGGAAGCTGGGGTATTAGCCTCTGGACCCCCAGGGACGCCCCCAAGCTACCTGCTTGGCCTCACCTCCCCCACTCCATCCACCTGCCTCTGTCTCTGGTCTCCTCACATCTGCATCAATGGGTTCTTTAAAACACTTCTCCTCATCCTTTGCTTAGTCTTCTGATGTTTGTTTTAATACCCCAAGGTGGGAGAAAGCTTTCCACTCGCATCCGTGCTGCAAACATTTGTCAAGGACTAGAGCACATTCTGAGCACCAAGGAGTTCAAGCCGGTTGGGTCCATTCATAGCCAGTCAATATGAAAACAGCGCTGGTAACACATCCATATCAGAGGAAAAGGTAAACCGTACGTTTGGAAGTGAAATCACGTATGAAGAACCAAGAGTGCCAAATGCTAAAGCTAACAAAGTACCTGACAAAGAGCTTCTCAGCTCTCCCCTGGTGGTCCAGGGGCTAAGAACCCACCTTCCAGTGCCGGGGATGTGAGTTTGATCCCTGGTCTGGGATGATGCCACATGCCACGTGCAACTAAGCCCGTGCGCCACGGTTACTGAATCCCGAGCAGCCTGGGGCCCATGGTCCACACGTAGGAAGCCGGCGGAATGAGAAGCCCGCGCCTCGCAGCTGGAAAGCAGCCCCTGCCCGCGGCGGCTGGCGCAGCCCAAACAACGTAGGTCAAAAAGAATCTCTCAGGCAAGCAAAACCAGTTCATGAGCACTGAGCCTGCCCTGAAAGTCTTCGGGAATGGTCACAAACATCATTTACTTCTCTGCTTTTCCTCCGTCTCCGGCATTCAAGAGACAGTGGAGTGTATTTTTTAGGCATATTTCTCTTTGGTTTTAAATATCAATGCCAGCATTGCTAGTAATTGATTGTGAACGGCTGTCGTCTATATTTTGGCTGGGGTATGTGCTAGAGATGTGTCTGGGAGCTGCCCAGCAAATGTAACTGCCAATTCTAATCACAATTCTGTCGGGAAAAAGCACTCTCCAATTTCAAACAACTTTTGGACCAGAGTTGACTTGAGAATTAAGAACTTTGTGTCCTTTTTCACTGTCTTTTCTTGGTACACTAAATTGTGTTTCAAGAAAGCCAAGACTCTTCATGTTTCTCCTCCTCAGTAATTGAAATGATTACTTTAGAGTTCAGTGAGGTAGCAAGATCATGAGGAAAGTGTCCTTTGGATGCAGGAGAAGAGAAATTGGACCCGGAGGGAAATTTCAACCGTATTTTTCAGATCATCTAAACTTTCCGTTAGAGTCTGATGGTAAACAGCCTAAGAAAGAAGCCGTCTGCCGATTGTTTGTGGAGCAGTGTCTTCACAGAAGCAGCTTCTTTCCGCGGACACGTGTTTCTCGGCCACAGCTTCTGCGTAAACATGTGGGCCTGTGTTTGCGATGGAGGCAGGCAGCTCCGTCCCGACCGCGCGCAGACGAGCCGGAGGAGGCTGCCTCCAGCCGGCGTTCTCCTCTCTCCTGGAGGCTGGGCACTAGGGCCGTCTGTGGGTTGCTGACGGTGGTTTTCCTCCCTAGATCGTCGGGGACGCGGTCGGCTGGGGCTTCGTGGTGCGCGGGAGCAAGCCGTGCCACATCCAGGCCGTGGACCCCAGCGGCCCGGCGGCGGCGGCGGGGATGAAGGTACGGTGTGCCGAGCCTGCGCGCGCGTCCCACCTGCCTCGCCCTGCGCGCTTGCTCCCTTCTGCCCGCCCCCCTCTGCCCTTTCTGCGGCCGGGTTGAAGCCAAGAGCTTGGAGGTGAGGTCGAAAGGAAGAGGGCGAGCCTTCCTGTCCCCAGGGCTCCACCTCCTTGTTTTCTAAATCTCCCTCTGTTTTTTGTTTGTTTTTTACATTTCTCTCCTTAACCAATACTTAGTTTGAAAAAAGAAAGTTTCCTTTTGCATAAGTCTTTTTATGTTGTTGTTATAGAAACATTTTAATTTTATTTTTATTTTTTAATTTATTTTAATTGGAGGCTAATTACTTTATGATATTGTGGTGGTTTTTGCCATACACTGACATGAATCAGCCACGGGTGTACGTATGTCCCCATCCTGAACCCCCCTCCCACCTCCCTCCCCATCCCATCCCTCTGGGTCTTCCCAGTGCACCAGCCCCGAGCGCCCTGTCTCATGCATCAAACCTGGACTGGCGATCTGTTTCACATATGATAATATACATGTTTCAATGCCATTCTCTCACATCATCCCACCCTTGCCTTCTCCCACAGAGTACAAAAGACTGTTCTATACATCTGTGTCTCCTTTGCTATCTCACATATACGGTCATTGTTACCATCTTTCTAAATTCCATATATATGTGTTAATATACTGTATTGGTGTTTTTCTTTCTGACTTACTTCACTCTATATAAGAGGCTTCAGTTTCATCCACCTCATTCAAACTGATTCAAATGTATTCTTTTTAATGGCTGAGTAATATTCCATTGTGTATATGTACCACAACTTTCTTATCCATTCATCTGCTGATGGGCATCTAGGTTGCTTCCATGTCCTGGCTATTATAAACAGTGCTGCGATGAACACTGGGGGTGCACGTGTCTCTTTCAGATCTGGTTTCCTCGATGTGTATGCCCAGAAGTGGGATTGCTGGGTCATATGGCAGTTCTATTTCCAGCTTTTTAAGAAATCTCCACACTGTTTCCCATAGTGGCTGTACTAATTTGCATTCCCACCAACAGTGTAAGAGGGTTCCCTTTTCTCC